AAAAACAAAGAATTCAAATCTTAACAGATAAAGTATTTGATGAGCTTAAAAATAATATAAAAAATGAACAAGTTTCAAGTAAACTAGAGGATAAAGGATATTATAATAATAGAATTAATGAGATTCGTGAAGAATTCTTAACAAATAATCAAAAATTAAAAGATTACATATTCTTAGAAGATGGAAATTAGATTTAATTTAAAGTGAAACAGAAGATGAAATATATGATATTACTTTTGAATTAATTGATAGTTTTTAGGATTTAAATAAACTTAATAATAACTCAAAACTTGCTAAAGATATTTTAAAATTAAATGAAATACTACTTACTGAAGATAGAAAATCGATAATTTAATAACTAAAAGAAAACAAAATTATAATAATAAATTATATGATAATTTTGTTGTATTAATAAATATTGAAACAAATATTGAAGGATTGCAAAATAATTGGAAAATAAAAATCGATACTGAAATTGAAAAAGAATATCTTTACAATCTAGAACAATAAAAAATTTACATAAAATACGAGAAGAAAGGATAGCATTATTAAGACAGCCACCTTCACCTAAATGACCAACTGAAGATGAAAATGAAAATGATATTTATTTACCTACAAGAATAATTGATAATGCAAAATCACAAAGAAATTATAATAGAAATGAAATTGCTCAAATTTCATAAATTGTTGATAAATATAAAAAAACTTTAAACAAGAATAATAAAAGAAAATTTACTTCAAGAGCTAAAACAAATCATATTAAAGATTTAATAAAAGATTCTTATACAAAAAGTAAAGATGGAAAAACTTTACTAGATGTTCTCTATTATATTTGGGTTTTAGAAAAAGATAAAAAATTTCTATTAACTAGATACACTACTAAAAAAATTAAAGAAGCTAATCTTTAACAAATAATATTAATAATTATATTTGGGTATTAACAAAAAAAAAAAAACTGAACAAAGAAGATTAGAAAAGGATCCAAACTATAAAATCTGAAAGATTATCCTTTATTAATAACACCAAGAAAATTTTTTTAAAAAAATCCTTTGGGATTCACTGAAGAAAAAGTTGATAATATTATAAATATTAATCAAATAATAGAACAATATCAAATATCTTTATCAGATAAATTTTCAATTACACCACAAAATATAGATAAAATTCAAAAAGTATTGCTTAAAGGAATTAACAAATATTATAATGATAATGATAAAAAAATATATTTAACCAAAGTTTTTAAATTTTTAGTTACAAGAGAATTTGATATTAATAATGATGATGAATTGATTAATATATTTAATTTTGATTTTTTATTTTAAATAGGCATATATATTATATTAAATTTAAAATTGTAATTCATATATCCAATAATAAATATTAAAATTGTTATATTATAAATAAATATTTCATAAATTCTAAATATTCTAGTTGATTGTAAAAAAGCTACAGTAAATACGTAATATTCTGAATATTTATAAAAAGTTTTTTTAATTTTATTTTGTAAAAAAATTTTTAATTGATTTAATGCTAAATTATTTTCAATTATTAAACGAGTAGATTCGGGTAAAAAAAGATAAATTTGATCAATATATTGATTTATAAAATTTTTAAATTTTTTTTTAGATTCTTCAAAACTTAAATTTTTATAATAATTAAGATTATTATAACTGTTTCAATAACAACAAGTAATGAATTTATATTTTTATTTTTATTTTTAAAAACTTCATTAAAATTCTCACGTAATTCATTAACTGTTTCTTTTAAAAGTTTAAATGCAGTTTTAAAATCATCTGTATCATGTGTTTCTTTTATTCATTTAAATTTTTCTTGTAATATTTCTTCTTTGTAATCCATTTTTATTTTGAAAATATAAAAACAATTTAATCTTTATA